CCAAGTAAAAAAATCAGCTGGCCTCCCTCAGTTGTGGCTGACTGGCATAGCCATTAGATTGAGGATTTAGCCGATCCTTTACCTACGTGTATGGTTTCCAAGAAGAGATCCTAATAAGGACACCTGAAGGTAGAGCTTTAGCTACTCAGAAGGATGCTTTTGTTCTGAACAGGGCATTTGGTGTTCTCCAAGCTTTCTGGCATGCTTGCTCAGAGAAGAGCTGTTGGCTGTAGCTGCAATTGTCCAGAAGAGGTAGTGGGAACATCATTTACACAAGCCAGCAGATGGAGAGGTAAGAAATTTACAATGTGACATTTAAGAGGAAAACAGGCTGACAAAGAGAATGAAGCCATGTGCCTGCCTAACAAGCACAAGGCCCTCAGTTCAAACCCCAGTACCCACCCCTCAAAATAATTACTGAGCAAAAAAAACGTGCCAATCTGGACTAACCTTGACAATGTGAAGAACTCTATATAATACTACATGTTAATTGAATTTACTATAAACCATGAATTATGATGATGCAGCTGTATGTGAACTAACTTTCATTATTCTAACCAGATCAGACAACTGTGGTATGGTATGAGTATGACAATCCTATTTTTACAACCAATGCGGCCAACTGTTTAATACCAGATAATATTTATAGTCACAGACTTAAGATACAATGTTTAAAATTCTATTGAAACACTGAACAGCTTTAAAAAAATACCCTTTAACCAGAAAATCTATCCTTAAAGTACATCTCCTAATATACATAAGTCATAATTAATTGTACTTAGTGGAAGGGTTACAGCTAATATTGTCAAGTGTTTGCATTTTAGGCACTGAAAGTAGAAACAAGAGAACCACTCTGCCCATATCATTTTGTCTAAAATGATTTCGTAGATCTTTTAATTAGACTGAAAGTGATACACAGCACTAGTGTGCAGGCATAAGTGTAAGTTTCAATAGCTACATTAAGCTTAAAAACACAAGTGTAGCATTGAAAAAAGTGAACAGAGGATACTTGCATTCTCCTCATCTTTCTCTGCTCAGTTCCTTTCCTTTCAATAAATGGTACTATCGTCTTAATATCTGTGTTCCCCACAGCTCAAGTGCTGGAGCAGACATGATGGTATTAGTGTCATCCTTAAAGAGACCTCAGAGAGATCTTTTAACCCTTCCTCCATGTGAAGACAGCAAAACTAAGAACATCTGTGAGTCACAAGGCATGCTCTCACCACACCAAATTGAGAGCACCTTGATCATGGATTTTCTAACTCCAGATCTGTGAGTAATAAATTTCTGTGTTGATAAACCACCCAATCTATGATGCTTTTGTTATAGTAGCCACCATATAATTAAACAAAAGCTAACTCTTACAGTAGTTTTGGACAAAAACCATCAGTGACACCTTGCTTCCCTTTCGCATCCAAACCTTAAGTGCATTTCCTCAGCTCTATCTTCAGAATATATCCAGAATGCATCAGTTCTCAGTAGCCTCCCTGCTAACACTCACCATTTCTAGCCTAGATTATTACATTATTTAATCCTCAAGTGTTCATTACTTCAATTCTTTGCCCATTTAACAGACCACTCACAAAAGGAGTGTCTCTTACCCATGTGCAGGACATAACTGGCAGGATATTAAGTAGAATCAATATGAGAAAATAATTCTAATGACTAGGTTAAGTTAGCATTTTCCTAATCTTAATAAGAAATACATTTCAACAAAATATGAGGTAATAAAATATTTTCTTTTATTATTGAAAATTAGGATATTTGATCAGCTGAACACTAGTAATAGTGATAATGATAAAAGTCTTCAAATTGACTTAATGCTTAGAACATTATGGTTATGATATTCCATAAATTTAAATGGACACATTTTTTGTTGCAAGTATGATAACCAACAAAACTTTCACGCCTAAAACCACACTACATCAAAGCTGTGCAGGTAAGGGCTTCTCGGCAGCTCATTACTGGCATGGTGGGTTGGTTAATTCCCTGTTGGGCGTTGTTTTGGGCAGTGTGGCATGTTTTGTAACATCCTGACCTCTTCCTAGCAGACACCAGTAGCATCCCACTCCCCCGAAAGTCTCCAGACAGTACAATGGAATACTTCAACTTAAAACAGATGATTTGTAAAGAAAAAACTAAGTACTAAATGTCACTGGATACAACTAAAGCAAGGATAGTTATACTGGAAATTACATTTTTTAAAATGATGGTCAAAAACTTCAGATAATAGTTTATGATTCATTAGCTAAAAGCATCCTGTAGTTTGCAGAAAGGTGAAAAATATAAATTAACACTCATTTACTGATGTTTTTCAAATCTCTGAATTTATCTCAAATGGTTCTAATTTTTTTTCCTTTTGAAGAATGTACTAAGTTCTTGAAAACTATGGTGAAAATTTAACTGAAAAAAATCGGAAGTAAACTAGATAGATGCAAAGTAAACATTTTTCAAAACTCAACTTGCACAAACCAGTAACCCTTTTTTACTTTCACTTTTCAAATGATGGCTATACAATTCTGAGGCACATTGCAGGAACAGTTTAAGAAATGCAAATTTCTTTTCCATACAGAGAAGCAGCACCTGCAGTACCTCCTTAATTGTCACTAGTTACCTAATTCTCTCAGCTTAGTTTATTGCCAAGAATGCCAATCATCAGTTCTAAATATAAATATAAAAATTTATGTGGTCCTTTTAAAGCAACTCAACACATAGTACCTAATAGTAATCAAACAGATAGATGTATGTGTGCAGTTAGGTATGGCTCGCCTAGTTTACAAATCAGCAGCAGCTGCACCGCTGACCTACCGCTCAGGTCTCCCGATCAGTCACTTGACACTTCAGAGGAAAACCTCACTCGACCTTCTGCTCCTAACTCTGTATTGTAAGAGTCTGGGGGAGTCTGGGGGAGTCTGGGGGATGCTTGAAAGGCCCAGTTACATCGAGTTCTACCGAAGGCAGCATGGAACACTCAGCTGTAGCAGCCACTTTGTACAAGACTTTGAAAACTAAACCTTAAAATCTGTCTATACTCAGAGTAACATCATGCAAAAATCACGTCTGCATTGGGCATAGCAAAACACTCAAGGACCTTTCTCAAAGTTTCAACACTTACATCACCAAGAACAAAACATTAACCTCGCCAGTACTCTTCCAGCAGACGGGTCCACCTGTTACAACCAACACAGAAAATTCAGGAAAGTGAATTCCATCAACTAGGATAGCTATTTCTTGGTACGTCTCCACCCATAAAGAGTTTACCTACACATTCCAGTTACCAGGTTTTTCCTAAATAGCTGTTCAGCCCTAAGAGCAACTCAGCAAAGACCTAAATACTTAATAAATAAAATTAAAAACATTTACTAATTTAAAATACTTCATGGATATAACTAACAATATCAGGAACTGCCTAGGCATCACTAAGGAGCCCTCCTCACTCTTCTAGCGCTAAGAGCGGAAAGCACTGCGATCAAATACAAATCCTGAGTTCTGCGGCAGCCAGCGCCCAGGTGTCCTGCGAATTCTGCCCGAGCTCCATCGAGCAATCTGGTCCACCCCCAGCCAACCGCTGCACAGAGCCCCGGCGCCTGGGCGCCCATGGTTACCGCCATAACAACGCGTCCCGGCGCGCGGGGGGCCGGCGGGCGGGCGGGGCGGGGCGCTCCTCCGGGACCCGCGGGGGCGGCGCCCGCAAATTCCCGTGGTGGAGTTGGGGAAACGCACAACGAGCATAGGAAAACCTCATCCCCGCTTCTCCGCGGCGCTGGGAGCAGACCCTCCGGAGACCCCAGGCCGCATCGGCTCCCCGTCAGCCAGCTCCCCTTTATTTAACACGGTGTCTTCCTTCTTCCCGTGCTCGTTCAGGGAAGTTTAAAATCGACGCCACAAACCCGTTCAGCACAACTCACGCTTTTCCCACTGTTTTCCTGTCCCCCAGGCCCCGCCCCCTGCCGTGCGGCGCGCGGGCCGCGGACCCCTCCCCCACAGACGCTTCCCAACCTCGCCCCGCCCCCGGCGCGCACCTCCCTGTATAAGGCCGTGGAGGGGGCGGTCCCACCCGCTTAGGCTCCGCCCCACGCGCCTCGTCAAACAGATGGGACAAGAAGGAGCGGGATAACGGCCCCGCCCACCCAGGCTCCGCCCCGTGCGCCTCCTGAGAGGGCAATGGGGTACAATAGGTTCCTGCGGTTCACTTATTTTCGTCCTCTTCCCCTTTGGAGAACTTTTCCACGATAGAAATGGGCAGGGCCCAGCAAAAACCAATCATCACAAAATAAAAGGAGTATTTCTAAGTCTCTTCGTCTCCAGAGCGCTCGAGCTCCGCCCCCTCCTCCCTCCCTCCCTCCCCGCCCGTCCCTCACACAGCTACCCCCGCGAGCCCGCGCTTACGCTCTCGGGGCAGCGCGCGACACGTCGGCCCCGCCCCTCCCGCCCCGCCCCCGCCGTCCCCGCCTCCCAGGAGGGCCAGCGTGTACGAGCAGGGGCGTGCGGCGTCAGGGACGCGCGGGCACCTCCGCCTTCCCACTTTCCTACACTGTTGCCACTTTGGGGTGTGAAACATTTCCACCTCCTCTTCCCCTCCTGTGCGTCTCCTCGTTTCCTCTCTGCTCGCCGCCGCCGCCGCCGCGCTAGCGCCCCGAGCGAGTCGTGCGCGTGCGCGCGCCCGTCCGCGTGCGCGCGGGCGTCGGGGCCCCGCGCTCCGTCCTCCACCCCCCCACTCCTCCCCCCCGGCCCCCTCCCCGCACTCCACCCCTCCTCCCGCGCCTCTATAACTTGGCTGGCGTGGAGGCGGCGCCGGCGGAGTCGGAGGGCGGGGAGCTCGGAGGAGGGAGCCGGAGAGTTGTGCCGACTAGTGACTGGGAGAAGTCGCAGCCCGTTCGGGTCGGCGCCCTTCCCGCTCCCAGGCTGCTCCCGCTCCGCACACCCCTACCCCGCCGCCCGGGCGCTCTCCGGGCCTCGGTGGAGGTGGTGGGGGCGCCCCGGGGGTGCGGGCGGGCGGGATGTGGCGCTTGGTGCCCCCGAAGCTGGGCCGCCTGTCCCGCTCGCTGAAGCTGGCGGCGCTGGGCAGCCTGTTGGTGCTGATGGTGCTGCACTCGCCGTCGCTGCTGGCGTCCTGGCAGCGCAACGAGCTGGCCGACCGGCGCTTCCTGCAGCTCAATAAGTGCCCGGCGTGCTTCGGCACGAGCTGGTGCCGCCGCTTCCTGAACGGGCAGGTGGTGTTCGAGGCGTGGGGCCGCCTGCGCCTGCTGGACTTCCTTAACGTGAAGAACGTCTACTTCGCGCAGTACGGCGAGCCCCGCGAGGGCGGCCGTCGCCGAGTGGTGCTCAAGCGCCTCGGCTCGCAGCGCGAGCTGGCGCAGCTCGACCAGAGCATCTGCAAGCGGGCCACCGGCCGGCCCCGCTGCGACCTGCTGCAGGCCATGCCCCGCACCGAGTTCGCGCGGCTCAACGGCGACGTGCGGCTGCTCACGCCCGAGGCGGTGGAGGGCTGGTCGGACCTGGTGCACTGCCCCTCGCAACGCCTGCTCGATCGCCTGGTGCGCCGCTATGCCGAGACCAAGGACTCGGGCAGCTTCCTGCTCCGCAACCTCAAGGACTCGGAGCGGATGCAGCTGCTGCTCACGCTGGCCTTCAACCCCGAGCCGCTGGTGCTACAGGTAGGTGGTGGTGGTGGGGGGGTAGTGGCCGGCCGGAGGGGCGGCCCCGGCCACCTAGACGCCCGCGGGCGCAGCTCACGGGCGCACTGCCTGCGGGTTCTTTTGAACGCCAGAGGGAGTGCGGCTCGCATGCACGCACGCCCCCAAAATGTCTCTCCGGCTGCGAGTTTCCTTCCGCCGCCTCCTCCTCCTCCTGCTCCTCCCGCTCCTCCGGCTCCTCCTGCTCCCCGCCGGGGCCCGAGGTCGGCGGTCCGCGCCCGGCCCGCGCGCCCTTGGCCCCAGTGTCCGCGCGCCCACCGCGCCCGCCCTGCCCTGCCCTGCCCTGCCCTTGGCGCTGGCCTGACCTCGGCTCCGCCGTCGTCTCTCTTTGTTTTACTGCTTAGCTCCTTTACCAGGCTGTCATTTGGAAAGCCGCTTTGGGGACAAGGTGGAGGAAGAGAGGGTCAGAGGAAAGGACAAGTGGTCAGAGTCGGGCACAGTCGTGCTCTGCGTGGGATTGCGATCTGCAAAAGAGGGGGGAAAAGTCAGGCAGCCTCCCGAGCGGGGCCGGGCAGGGTGGAGGCCCAGGGGGTTGCATCCCATCCCGTGACCTGCCCTCCTGCTTTGCCCCTCCGTCCGGATGGAGGAGATGAAGTGTGGGTGTTAGGCCGGGGCCAGAGGCAGGGCAAGGGGTTCTACCTCTCTCCAATCGCCTTCTTGGCTCGCGTCTGACTTCATGTTAAAATGAGTGTGGGTTTTAGGGGAATAGGTTGGGGTCTTCTTACTGGTGACAGGCAGAAAGCAGACCAGCACAAAAGCCCTTCTACCCTGGAGGAGTTCCTTCCGCATGCCCGCCCAGCTTGGGGCCCTGCCCTGGACCACGGTTGCCGCGGAGGGCTGCGGTCCCTGTGGTCGCTGCAGGCGAAGTTGCTGCGCTCCTCTTCCACGCCAGCTCTGCTGTTTGTCAAGTAGGCGAGCAAAACATCACGACTACAGATTAATCACAAGCAGTTTGGGAATAGTTCAGGCCCTTTCTGCGCTGCTCGGAATGTCACCGATGGCTGGAGGGTTTGAGCAGTGTTGTTTTTTAATCTAAAATGCACCAGCAGGAATGTGCGCTATTTATTTATGCTGTTTTCTTCTCAAGTTTTCCACTGCCTATCGTAGCTAAAAGAAACCAGCTCTGTTTGATTAGTTCAGCCAAATAATCTTAACACAAATACTTTGCCTCAAACGAAATGTGAGGCTTGGTCTTAGTAAATTTTAAGGTGTCTTAGGATATGTGTGATGGGTTAATTTTAAAGTTTGGATTACGTGGTAAATACTGCTCTATCTCCTCCAAACAGTGAATGGAGCATAAAACTAGTTAAACTTCCCTGGAAGAGTTAGTTTGTTCAGTAGTTAAATTAGCTGACTCCACATTGATGATAATACACACTTGAAACTTTTTTCATTTAAGCTGTCTTTTCAGTTTAAGAAATAGAAACCTTATTGTTCATATGGTAAGGTTGGTCCCTGGAGGAAGCTGTAGCAGTGTAGTTTGCCGACGACATAGCTAGTCACAATCTCTAGACCCAAACATTTACTGAGCAGCTTGGTGATACACATTTCGTGCATTTAAAATATCACTGCCTTCTGGAAAGGTCTTTATCGGGTATTAGAAACAGCTACTATTTGGGCTAATGTTTTTAAAACATTCAGTGTCTAGTTCTTTATAAACATAATCATGGCATTTGAATTTGAGAAACTTTGATATGTGATCCACACTAAGGTAGATCTGCTTGACTTGAAAAGCATTTCTATTTTGTTTGAAGTTCTCTTGGCATTTCCAGTTTGCCTTATAGTTGAGGTGTGCTTGTGTTTTGTTTTTTGATTAACTTTTCCCTCATACCACGCTATCTACTTTCTTCTTGAGTGGTAGGTAATATTTTCAAAAAATTTCACAAGTATTTTCTTCTTATGGATGAAGGGATGGTATATGGGATGAGAGCTTGTTTTTAGTATGTGAGAAAATACGTATCAGCTTTGGAGACTGACATTTATAACTTGCATTTTTAGACAACCCAGTTCCTAGGAGTAGTGTTAATACTTCTAGCTAATTACGTACTCTGAAATACAAATTTTGGAGTTATTATTACTAGTCATATTGGCATGTTAGATTTTTTTTTTTAACTTGATCAGGAAATTGAAGATTTCATGGAAGAATTGCCACCTGACTCACAGAACCACTTGATTTTTAGTAAAAGTGATTTTGAAAGTATGAGTATTGGTGATGGTATAAAACCTCCAAAGTGAAAGGAATTTTCACACTGTGCTCAGGTGCACAGGTTTTTAATAACTTCTTGTTAGCTGGGCAGACTATACATTTTTAGTACGGACAGCTTTCTATAGCTTTCTGTGGTGATAGTAAGAGTACAGATGCTGGTAGGAAAACTCACATTTGGCTTTCTTCTGATAGGGAATTTTTGCTTCATGAAATTTTAAAGGTACTAGAACAAACTTAAGAAGGAACTCACTTTTGGTTTTTTTTCCCCAGGAGAGGGAGCTACTTCTCGAATGTTTGGATGGTTGATGTCAAACTAGAATTTTCTTGTCTTCTGTTGTCCAAAAATGTGGGAAAACTATTTTGAATGTGCTTCAGCAAGCTGTTCTTAACAAAAGTTCCATATAGTAAACACCCATTCAAGATGAGCATTTTAAAATCCCTTTTGAGAAGATACTAAAGAAAGAACTGAAAAACATAAATTTAACCCATTAGCCTCTTCTGATTTTAGGAACCAGTAAAAAAAAAAAAAGTTTCTGTTGTGTCTTGGAGGGAGACACAAAAGGTGTTGTCTGTAAAATAAATGCACACATACCTTACCTATGGGAGGTGATACAGATTTGTAATGTAAATGCCCCAACATGAAGCCGTATGGGAGTGGGACTCTGTTCTTGTGGTTGAATGGTTTTACTAGTTTATAGTAGCTTATCTGGTTATTAGGAAAGTTCTGTGGTAGAATTGTCTTCTGAAGAAAATAGGCAAACATCAAGCAACAGGATTGTAGCAGTGCCTTTCTATTTCTTTTTCTAATACATTCTTTTCCTGTTCACATTTTTACTCCACTAAGAGATGTATTTTGATGTCACGTATGTATGCTGTAGTCCTCTGGAAAAACAAATTGTGGAGAGAACGGCTTTGTTGACTTGGGGATTGTGTAATAACAATCCTGGAATATTTTTTAAAAAAAACAGCCAAAACTCAGGTATCATAGTAATTGCCAAGAAGAAAAATTATTTTACTGGTAAGTTTTCTGTTAGTATTTGTTCTTACCTGTTGTTGAATTTGCACAGGTTGGGGTGGTGAGGCTGGCTTTCTTGATCTCCTCAAGCCCAGACATTCTCTCTGACTTTGACCTCAGAGTGCTGACAATGAGCCTTGGCTGTAGAAAATAAAGAAAACTCCCATGGAGCACGTGCATGCTGATAGTACCCGCACTCGCACTCGGGAGGCTGAGGTAGGAGGATCATGGATATGAGGCCAGCCTGGGTTGCAGAACAAGTTTGGGGTCTGTGTAGCAAAACCCTGCCTCAACAAAACAGAACAGAATAACCCAGCGCACACACGCACACACACTCAGAGAGAAGGAAAGAAAAGCAAAATTTTTAAAAAACTCTTCTGGTTGTTTAGGGGAAGAGCTGAGAATTTGTTTTATATTTGCAGAACTTTTTGAATCATGGTGTTAATAGGTCTTAATTTTTATAGTATGTAATTATTAATGTCTAAGCTGTGGATATTCAGCTTTTATTTCTTGTAAATGGCAAAACATTTGCAAATCATTTATATAGGGCCTGATGCAGTAAGTACTGAATAAATGTTAGTGAACAAGGGAAAATAGTAACTTTAACCCTCTGGTACATTTGATCAGCTGTTTTGAAGTTTATTTGGGTTATGGATGATCTTACAAATAGAGGTAATTCTGACTAAAAACTATTTCTCAGTGATACTGATTTCATCTTTTCTTATGTAGGAAGAGTTTTTATAGAGAACTTTGAGGAAATTTTTTTTCTTTAATAATTTTATAAGAAGAATATATATTTAAATTGTACTGCTGAAAATACAGTTTTTGAAGTAAACAAAGGAAAGATGACTATTTAGCTAGCTGTGTTACTTTGGACAAGTTGGTAAGCTTTTTTGTGGCACTCACTTTCGTCCCTATAAAATGGATTAGGTCCTTTCCTGTCAGACCCAATATCCTGGGGCTCTCAAATGCATGATTTGAGAATTTCAGTTTTTTTCTTTTTTAGTTGTTTTCTGAGTTTGGCTTAAGCAAGCCCCTTTAAGAGGGGATTGTGGATCAGGTACTAGGTTTCTGCTAGAGGATGAGTTGGAGGTCAGTACCGATAACCTTTCAAGCCTTTCTTCCTAGCCTTAAATTTTTATGCAGTGAAATTTAGATTAAAACAAAACAGAAGCCAGATATTTCCTTTAATGGGAAAAATATGTAGTTAAGTGAGGCCAAGCATCTTGTGAGCAGTAGTTTCTAGAAAGGATGTTCCCTTCTTTGTCTCTGGAGTTTCAAACGGTGGTTTAGGGAGCTTGGTAATTTTCTTACGGTGGCTGCTGCTTTAGAATGTACATTCCTAGATATGGGCTTCAAAACACATTAAAGGTTGTTTTGCTCATTTGCTGTTGTGGATGTTGCTATTTTGAGGCAGGTTCTGGGACTCGAGATCTTCCTGCCTCCGCCTCCCCAGTGCTGAGGTTACAGGTGTGTGCTGCTCCTCCAGCAGAGGGTGTTCGGGGGTTTGAACTCAGAGCTTCGTGCTTGCTAGGCAGGTGCTCTACCACGTGAGCCACTCCACCAGCCCTGAGCAGAGCACTTTTTATCCATTATGTTCATAAACTTTTAAACTTCTGTGTTTGTGAGGTTTCATTGACACTTTTGATATTTGAATATCCTTTGTGAGATAACAATTCTTTGTACTTCAGGTCAAGAAAAAGTAGGGAGACTTATATTTTAGAAAGACCCTAGCAACAG